GCCCTCCTGTTTGCTGCTGCCCCACCTCCCCTCCTTCCTGTGCTGCCCTATGGCCACAGACTGAGCTGACTGTGGGTGTCTGCTACTTCCCATTGGTTGTGGACTCTTAGAGACGGCAGATCTGCATTGCATCGCCGCGGTCCATCCACCTGCATCAGTGGGCCGTGGGTTCCGGTGGCCACGGAGACTCCTGCTGGGACAGGACGTGTCCCTCTAGTCCCTGCTCCTGTGGAGCTCCCGCAACGCGTTCCGGGTAAAGTGCCCTGAAAGCCTGGCTTCCCCCAAAGAAGGTGTGTATTTCCCCCCAAAGACCATGAGAACCAAGCAACTGATTGTGTTTACTTTTTTATTTTATTTTTTTTTGCTTTGGCTCCGGAAAGCTCGAAGCCAAGGTGAGGCTTTGCTCTCGCATTCTGTGTTCCGCTTGCTCGAACCCTTCCTCGGGCGTTAGCCTCCCAGCCTAATCCGTTCCCTGGCCCTCATTTTTCCTCTTGGCGTTTTCTTGCTTTAATGCATGTATTCGTCGTCCGACGCCTCAGATCCCACATTCTTTTCTGGACCTGCCTCTTTCTCAAGGTGGCTGAGGGTCTCCTTAGCGAGGCCCCATGGTCTCCTCTGTTCCTGGTTCTCTGAGCTTCTGCTCCATCTGCCACACGGAGAAATCACTCGGGTCCATGTGAGCTTCCAGGGACCAGGGCCTCTGTGCTGGCCCCTTAGTGCCCAGTGTCCGGCGCAGGACTTGCTTTCCATAGAGTGCCACCGGCCGTGCAGGGCAGCATAATAACACCAGCAGTACAAGTAATTTCTTACTACAACTGCCCGGAATAAGGGGGTTTTGTATCTGTACCAACTCCTGGCACTCTTGTCATGAGGAGGATGAAAGATGCATGTAGAACAGTAGACTATTTTTTAAAATATATATTTTTATTGATGTCAGAGAGGAAGGGAGAGGGAGAGGGAGACAGAAACATCCATGATGAGAGAGAATCATGGGTCGGCTGCCTCCTGCACGCCCCCCACTGGGGATTAAGCGCACAGCCACGGCATGTGCTCTTGACCGGAATCGAACCCGGGACCCTTCAGTCCGCAGGCCGACGCTCTATCCACTGGGCCACACCAGCTAGAGCAGAGCAGTAGACTTTACACTCTATCACGAAAGGAATGTGTTGTGTAACATTAGGGTGGAAAAATAGCTGTTTCCTCAAACTGGGGATTAACTTGGCTGCACGTATCTTCTGTGAACCCTCATTTAACCCCTGGACACAGACCCCCTAACTGTGCACTACAGTGGAAAGAATATAATCCGTCAAAACTAGGAATGCTTATGCAAAACCTTTGCAGTTTAACAAGAGGGGGATCTGCAGACACTCGACCAAGTTCCTGCGAGTGATGAGCCGGTATTCCTCACATGGCAAATTGGAACCTATGGCTACGGTTACAGGGATTAGCCCTGTTTGGTGTGAAGACACTTTCTTTCTTAGTGTTAAGTCCGAGGCAGGCTGTTGGAGGCGCCTCCAGGACTGGGTCCCGGGCCCTGTGGTCAAGCTCCAGGCCCTGTGTCATGGCTCTGTCCACAGGGCGTGCTCACCGCCACACTTCTTAGTTTCAAGCCACTTTTAATTCTTTTTATTATTTTTAAAAATATTTTTATTGATTTCAGGGAGGAAGGGGGGAGAGAGAGAGAGAGAAACATCAATGATGAGAGAGAATCATTGATTGGCTGCCTCCTGTACGGCCCCCACTAGGGATCTAGTCTGAAACCCCTGGGAATGTGCCCTTGACCGGAATTGAACCCGGGACCCTTCAGTCCGAAGGCCGATGCTCTATCCACTGAGCCACAGCATCCAAGGCTCAAGCCACGTTTTACTTTGAAAACTCTACATGCCTCGCTGAGGACAGTGCTACCACATGTCCGAGCCTCTGGCTTCACAGTTCAGCTGGTTCTGAGTTATCTGACTGGACGAAAGGTCGCGCGATCTCTCTCGCAGTGGGGAGAGTGTACTTTTCCACGTCTTTATGATGCCTGGAAATGGCTGGAGTGATTTCCCCCTAAAATTTCCACAGATAAATAACGTTAGAGCTGCCTCGGCAAGATGCGCAGAGTGACCCCCTCCCCTCCTGCCTGAAGCCCGGTCGGCAGGGGAGGCCACCCCGGGTGAAAACCATGAGCGCTGACGTCTGGACGAAGAAACATCACCTAACCCGTGAGATGACAGCGGAACCCTCGCCTCTGTCTCGGCCCATCCCGTTTCAGCAGGGGTTGCGGGGAGAGTCTGGGGTCTGGGAACACTCACCCGTCCAGTCTTTGTAGGGGAGCCCTGCCCTGCTCTCCCCATTGTCCATGGACCATACAGCGACTTCCCACAACCTGGGACTTTCTTTTGTACACAGTCATTTCTGGCCTCTTGCCTCAAGAGGATCCTGTGTCAAGGCGATTCGGAATTGAACTTGTGGGATTTACCTCTGTGGGCCAACGGGTTTTTAGTATTTTTAAAAAATATATTTTTATTGATTTCAGAGAGGAAGGGAGAGGGAGAGATGGAAACATCCATGATGAGAATCACTGATCGGCTGCCCCCTGCACGCCCCCCACTGGGGATCCAGCCCGCAGCCTGGGCAGGTGCCCCTGTCGGATTCGAACCCGGGACCCTTCAGCCCGCAGGCCGACGCTCTACCCACTGAACCACACCGGCCAGGGCGGAGCTTAGTGTTTCTATGCACTTTGCTCGAAGTTGCTCAGAATGGATGGGACCTGCCAGGCGTCAGGCTTAGGGCTCCCAGGGGAGCCAGGAAGGGCCTTGGCCGCAGGGGAGCGGGCTCACCCGGCTCAGCCCCTCCCTGCCTCCCTCCCCGCGGCCACCTGCCCGAAGGAAGGACCAGCTTCCATTTGGCCTAAAGGAAGGTTGGCCTTGGGGTGAGAGGGGTGGTGGGGGGGGGTCCGGCCCTCCCGCGGGGGTGCGGCTGTGTCCCCGAGTCCCCGGCCGTGGTGACCGGCAGCCCAGGGCGCCGGCTCCGTCCCGCGCGCACATTTCCGAGCGTCGCCTTCGAGGTGCGCGGTCTGTGCGCTCGTCATCGCCCCGCTGCCCACGGCTGACGGTGCCCCGAGCAGGTCCTCGGTCC